TTTTCCTACAGACCAACATATCAGCTGTCCATGCGATCACCCTGAATCAAAGAAAAATCTCTTGGTTTCCTTTTTGTTTCTTCTTCCCTTCCTGCTCGTCCTCCGCTCCTCTTTCTGTCTTTTTCTTCTTTCCTTCCTTCCCTTTCTCTCTTTTTCCTTTTTCTATCCCTCCCGCCTTCCTTTTTCTTCTGAGGCCAGCAGCAGAAAGGACTCTCTTCCTTCTGCTGCTATGCAGCTCTAGGTTCATTACCTCCTGTCGACAGACTGGATGGAAGGCTGCTCACCTGCATACACTTTAAAATGCCAAGTCTACTACACGATCACTCCCACATGGGTAGGCTGACCTCCTCATGGCCTTTCTTGGGTAACTTTCACCATCATTCCTAATATCGCATAGAAAGAGACAAGTCTGTCAGAGGGGAAAGAAAAAACCCACATTCTCATCTGGCCTCGTGGAAGATTTATAGACACTTTGCAAATAGCCAGACCCAGGTGATGGTGCCAGGAACTTTCCAAGTGATTTGTAGATCTCCCTGCCAGGAAGTCAGTCTTCAGTGGAAAACTCTAGCTGAACATTCCTTTATTATGGTGTGACTGCAGGGAGAGGATCACAACTGTCATGCAAAAAATTTGCTGAAATTAACTAGCTATTTGCCTGGCCTTGAGATAGTTCAGCCTCAGAAAAATACCACTGTCGCAATTTTTCTTTGAAACAGTGATTTCCTGAGCTGGCCTACTGCGTGCCAGGCATAGTACTAGACCCTTTACCTGACCTCTCTTTCTCAATCTCTATTATTAGGCTCATTTACTGAACACCTCCTTTGGCCAGGATCTGTGCTTTGTGTTTTATACGATGTCATTTAAGTGTCACTCAGACTCCATGATTTCAGTCTCTTCCTCCATTTTTCAGATGGGGAAATGGCTCAGAAAACTGAAATAACTGGCCCACATATGGAAGGCTAATAGGGGAGCTGAGATTGGTACCCAGCTCTAGTCCCAGAGCCCATGTTTGCCACCTGCCTTTTGAGTCCCGCTTCTATTCCCTCTGCCTTCTATTATTTCTCATTCCCCTCCCTTTCGTCGGTCGTTTATTTTTTTCCCCGATCCTTTCTTCATCTTTCACTCATAGTTACTTACAGGCTTTATTTCTTAACATGGCAGAGTGGATCTTCTGGGTTCAGCCTTAACTTTTCCATCAGTCTGCTGTACTCCTTGTCACCCACCTGGCATTTTATCAACTCTTGGACCCTATGCAGATACAGTCTGTGATGACCACCTGTGAAGCAATTTCATTTTTCCCAAGACATTCTTTCTATTACTTGTGCCTGCTGACATGTATGCCCCTTGAGGCTAAGGTCTTATTCACTATTTTAGTCTACGGACACAGCCTAGGGACTGGCACTTAGGAGGTTTGTACAAAATACCTGTTTAGTGGCTGAATGAAAAAATGAACACACGAATCCTTCAAGACCAACTCAAATGCCACCTACTCCATGAAGCCTTCCGTGAGCTCCCCTGATTGGAACATAATTCCTTCCTCCACACAGCTCCCCCCAGGTCTCTGGACTATTCACATGTACTTAGGTGAATAAGTACATGAATAACAGAATGTACTTGTTCTCTTTCCTTAATGAAATGTATTTCATTAAGGGAACAGTTCCTATTTTACTCATCTTTGGCTCTACCAATAAATTCCATATAAAACTTCACTAACTTAGCATCTTCTCATTGGGCCATGACTCATGTTGGATTATGGTACAAATGTTAATAGAATGCTTCGGTATCCTCTGCGTGTGTGTGACGTTTCTTTAGATGATAAGTTCCCTGAAGACAGAATCATATTTATTTCTTTAATAGATAACATCTTTAACAGTATCTAAGATCTCAGAGCATAGATGATATAAATAGTCCACGCTTGGAGCTCTAATATTCTCAACAGGGACAGCTGATTGTTGGCCTATGTAATGCATATCACAGTTCTCCCCTAAAAAGAGTCACACATGCTCCATTTCTGTCTACAGCTTATTGTTGTTGTTTTAAATGGTTCAGAACTATAGGTTCATGGCCTGGGACATCTCTGAAATAAAACCAGTACTTGAGAAATCAAGTGCCAAGTCCATTTTCAGAAGCACTTCCTTTAAGCACAGCAGACGTAGAAGAGTGGAAATAGGAACATATTTCCATGTCTGTAAGTACTCTACTTTTGGGGACATTTCAAATACTGATTCCAACAACCTAAGTTATTGCCCCTGGGGAGTATGGAAAAGCTTAGGGCACGAAAGAGCCAGTAACTGTTAAATGCAGTAGCAAAATTCCTTCCTATCCAACACATACCAAAGCAGATTCTTAGCCTTGATTGTGATGCATCGATTATTTCCTGCAAAGTCCCGGGGAAGAAATTAAACATCAATATTTTATCAGGTCATAGAAAAAATAAAACCGTTAAACACTCAAGATATAGATTTAACACTGGCCACAATCTCAAATCTCCACCTGAAATTAAATCAAAAGTAAAATGTACCGGAAGCCATTTTAAGGAAACCATTGGGAAATACAACCTTTTGGTAATTTATCACTAGGGAAATGCTGGGAACTGGCCTTTTCCTGCCACTCAAACCTCATCTTAAATCAGCTCCCTGACTCCCCATCTCACTATATTCTAGCCCCGCCAGTTTGCTTTCAGGATCTCGTAAATGCCATGCTTCCTCCCACTCTGGGGTCTGCAAACATGCTGCTCTCTGCCTGAACTACTCTCCCTCCTCCTTCCTCCTTCCTCCTTGGCTAGCATCTACTAATTTTTTAAATTTCAGCTTAACCAGCACTTCCTGAGACAGACCTTTTCTGATAGCCTGTGTTAGAGTCACTCTACATTGCTCTATATCATCCTATTCTTTCCCTGGAAAGCATCTACCAGAATTCCTCATTATAGATTTGTTTGGGTGTTTATTGTTAATGTCTGTCTCCACTATAAGCCTATAAAGTTCACCAGGACAGGGATCATAACTGATTTTTTCACCTCGCTATTCCTGGCCTGCAGCCCCATCTCTGACACATAATCGATGTTCAGTGAAAGTTGGTTTTTCTAGTATATTTGTTAATAGTTACTACCTCATCACTTGGGTTCATATTCTCTAATATTGTTCTTGCACGCATGCATGCATGCATACACACACCATACACACGTTTGGTTTTCAGTTGAATTGGGTGTAGCAGACCTGTACAATCATGAAAATTTAAAAACCAAATAAACCTTCCTCATTCTCTTTAAGATCTTCATTTGCCTTATTCTCCTAAGCTAATCATACACATGAAAACTCATGCACCATAAAATGTATACACACCCTTCTGATTCTTAAATTCTAGCCCTGTCTAAACCAGTCTCCACCCTGTTCAATTTTCAGGAAGAAAGAGAACAGAACACCAGAGACTGGGTGGGAAGATCTTTCTATGCCAAGAAGTCTGACCTAGTGAACTATTTCAGTCAAACACGCAATTTGAATTGGATGGCCCGATTGCTGAGAAGGGCTTCCCAGATTAGACAGTTCATTAGTGGCTTAGCCAGTTTTTAGGACATGTCAGTCTTCACTCGGCATGCCTGCAGTTAGCAAAGTGACAGAGGGAAGGCTGCTTGAGTGACAGGTGCAGGTGAGTCACATGGAATAACAGGTGAAAGAGCAGGCTACCGAGAGGCACCAGACACACCCTTAGGCTCAGGATCCCTGGTGTACACAGCTGAAAATGAGGCTTGGTGTCAGTGGAAAACTATTTGCCAAGCACCTTCTGTGTGCCTAATCCAGGGTGTGGTTTTGAGAAGCAATACTATGAGGTAGTCAACAGCAGTCTCCCAGACCTAGTTTCAATTCATCATTGCTGGGCAGAATTCTTCTTTCTCCCCACTATTTACCTAATCTGTACAATGGGGGTGGTATTATACTGAGGCTGAAATGAGTAAATTTATGCAAGGCACTTAGCATGGACCCACACAAGCAGTAAATAAGAATTCGAATAATGCTTTACCCAAAAGTAATATAGTGAGTGGAGGACAACATCACTTGAGATGTCAGAGAGACCCCATTCAGCTTCGCCATTTATAACAGACATGCCTCTGGACAAGTTACCTGAATTCTCTGAATCTCAGTTTCATTATCTGTAAAATCAAATGATACAGGTACCGCTTTGGTGGAGTGCTATGAGCATTAACTAAGGAAGGTAAGGAGCTGAGCATGATGCTTAGCACACCGTAGGCACTCGATAAATAGGATCATGTATTTCTCCACATGGATCACTACCTTGGATCCCAGAGAAGCAGAGCAAGGCCCCACACCCCCCCCACTCGGCATCACAGGACCAAACAGTCCGGAGAACAACTGCAGTATATGGTCGTATCTGGTCAGAGGGGTTGTTTTCTTGGACACCGCAATGTTAGTCCACATGAAGACCTCCAATTTGTGGAACAAGATGCTTACATTTAGAACTTATGAAGTTGTGTATAAACAATGCAGATTTTCAGTTTCTTTAGAAACTAACAGGTTGGTCCCACTGGACAGGCATTCCCACACAGCCACTCCTGGCGTGGGCTGGGAAGTAGCTGCCTCCTTTAGAAGGACGTGAGGTCTTGAATTGACCTCATCTCCCACCACTCCCTACCGTTCCCCAACCTTGAGGCCAACTGTCAGCTCCCCTTTGTGCTCCTAAAGTTGTTCTCTGCCACTCTGCCTTCAGTTTCGATGTTACTTGGCTTCTGTAGGCATCTGAGTTAGCAGTCGCTGGTCTTGGGCACTTGCTGGCATCCTCTGGAAATGGATACCTCCATGAGGCTACAAATAAGGAAGCAACCCCTTTCTCCACAGGACCTGAGGCCATTTGTCTACACCGGCAAACCAAAATGTAGAATGAGTCAATTCCACAGCTAAAGGCTGGCCTCTCCATGGAGCTGAGCACATCCTCAAAGAACAGTCTCCCACCCAAAAGTTGGCCCCATAAATTCACAATTTACTCACCCCAAGTCTTCTCCAGTTCCATTTAGACTGAGGGTAAAAGACATGGGACAAAGGTTAGGGGTGCTATACAACAATGCTTTAGAGCCGAATTTTCTAAAATATATCCTATGGGTTTATCAGTCCCTCAAGATTATGATCCACAGGTGAAAAAAGTCAAAATACTTTTGGGAAATAGCTCTCACTTTATCTCACATCTTGGTGACTCATCTGGGGAAATCAGTAACTCAGAAATCTATATGAAACAAGTTCATCCATAATTCATTCATTTAACAGATATTTACTGAGCACCTACTATGTGCCAGAAACTCTTCGATATTGTGAATTCAGCACTGATAAACAAGAATGCTGAACTCAAGTAACTTACTCTAGCATGGAATGAAGAAGGATGCTTCACTCTGTTTTAAAATTTACCTGACTATACAATGTTCCTGGGAAATACTGCTATATGCATATTGTATGTGACCTGCAGAACTTCCAGAGGCCCTTCATGATAAAAGCATGGTGGAGATTTTCCCCTATGAATGCCTAACAAAGTAAGCCCACTCGAGAACCCTTCTCATTTGGAGAAATACACAGTTTATTTACTGAGAAGTCACTGAACCCACTAGGGCAGACTTATATGGGAAGAACCACAGGCTCACCTGGAGTCTCAGGTTTGGCCAAGGTTTTTTTGAGACTATCACATAAAGGGTTAACTTGACTTTCACCTCCAAAGTGGGGTGTTTTTCTCTGCATCTAATACGACCCAGTTGGAAATGTATTTGTTTTTCACTGTTTAATCTTCTGCATCACCCACTGTTGATTAGATTTAATTAATTTATGTTTCTAATGAATTTAGAAACTCACAGTGCTGTAGCAGGAAAATTTTCAGACAGCATCTGGCCACCGAATGGATTGATTACCTTGTCTGCAAAAGTCTTTCAAACATCTGGGGCCTGATTTTGTGAAACATCCAGAAGCTCTTTCAGATGTAAGCAACACCCATTGAGGGAAGAGAAAGGGTACTAGAAATAGGTAGGTTTGCTTTGACTTGTAAATCTGGATTCTGGCACTCCCCCAACATGAAATCACAATTTGCTGCTCATTGGCACAGTTTCAATGGCGCCAAATAGACTGATCTGAATCTATTCTGTTTGACATAATCAGAATCTACCCAGTCCAAGCCCAGGCTGCCACCCTGTGAACCCCTTTGGCACTTCCTTTCATGAGGAGGCTCCCGCTGATCATTAAGATGAAACATTTACAGAAGACATTTAGAGAGAAGCACTTTGCTCTCATTCATTCAACAAACATTATCGGGGGCCCACTGTGTCTGGCACTGAGCCATTGCACCTCTTCGTTAGCTGCTCTTGGCAACAACCCTACAAGGTAGGCAAACATTGTTCTCCCATTTTCACAGATATGACCAAGTACTATACAAAAATAACAATTACTAACACTAATATCAACACTACTAATAAGGGATACACGGAGAGACACACACACTGGACACTATATGAAGCACTTTATATGCATTAGCTCATTTAACCCTCACAATAAAACCATGAGGCAGATGTCATTATCATCCCCATTTTATGGTAAGAGTACTGAGGCACAGGGAGATTATACGACTTGCCCAGAGTAACCCAGCAGCCTTTGGCAGAGCCCTGGAACATAGGAAGTCTACCTGTGCTCTGAACCACTTCACCTTACTAGGTCTGCGTAACATTTTTGGAAGACCTACTGTGTGTTAGACACTGCCCTAGGGGATTTGCTGCATTACATTTTCATCACTCATATCCTATACAGTGGGTAGTACTATTTCCAAACAGGGAAGCTGAAGCCAGGAAACATGAACTTACTAAGGTCACAAGGAGAGTTGGTAACAGGACTTCCCTCAGGTCTGCAGGGCTACAAAGGCCATGTTCTGCCTACTGCATCACCTGCTCCTAGACAAGAGGGAGAGGGGTGGTGTGTACTGGGTAGTGTGCTCAAGGCTGTGCAAGGAAGACTGCTGGTTACAAGTCAGAGCAGAGGGGTGGCCTGGCAAATCAGCACAGCCTAGACCACTCCAGAAAAAAGGAGATAAAGAATGTACAAAACCTAAGAAAGTCACTTCATCTTAAAGAGGGAGGTGAAAGATGCTGGAAGTCTCTTTGCCTGACTGGTTTTTCTGGCTCAACTTCAAAGAGAAATGATGGACAACTTACTGGGCTGCTTACAATAAAAGCAACAATGAAAAGGCGTGCCACAGTAATCATCTGAAATGTTCCGAACGATAGATACCGACTGTTGTGCAATCAGGTGGCCAAGATTACATGCTGGTGTTGAGTTCCTGTGACATGGTTCCTGTGACAGAGGATCATTTACTAGGTCTGGCTACTTTTTGTTTTATTTTTTATTTTTTAAAGATTTTGTTTATTTATTTGACAGAGAGAGACACAGCGAGAGAGGGAACACAAGCAGGGGAAGTGGGAAAGGGAGCAGCAGACTTCCCGTGGAGCAGGGAGCCCGATGCGGGGCTCAATCCCAGGACTCCGGGATCATGACCTGAGCCGAAGGCAGACGCTTAACGACTGAGCCACCCAGGCGCCCCATAGGTCTGGCTACTTCTCTCACTTGAAAAGCCCCTTGTCTGCGACCATTCTCCTCTTGCCCAAGCCTCTACCTCAACACGGCCACCTGTCTTTTTTGTTCCTTTGTACATGCTCCTTCTCTACTTGGACCCATTTCCATCTCAATCCCTCCCTTGGTATGGCTCACCTCCATTTGTCCTCAAGCCTCAGGTTGGGCATCTGTTCCTCCGGGAAGTCTTCTTTGACTTCCCTATTCTAGGTTAGGTGCCCATTTGAAGTGCAGCCTGGGCTTCCTCCTATTTCAGCACTTGCTACAAGGGAAGAAGGTAACTGTGTCTCGGTTTGTTGGTCTTCTCACTGAGAGTGTGTGTGTTAGTTACGATGGTAGTCCCAGTGTAAGGGGTATGGTACACAGCAGGTGTCCAACACATACTGAATGGAATGGATGGATGGAGGGATTGTGAACCTTATAACGCCCTCTTGGCTGGTCTCTCTCTTTGAAATCTCTCACCTTCATGCTCCATGCTACATCCTAGAAGTCATTAATCTGGTCTTTAAACCTCCATCATGTCATCTGTTTTTTTATTACTTCCCTTGAACACTCATATACAAGTCAGACAGTGGTATCTTGGGGATGGGGAGGAGTTCAGTCAGAGGGGGGGCATGGAGTCCCCAAAGCGTCCTATACCTTGATCTTGGTAATGGTGATGTTGGTGTATAGGGATGTAAAAATCTTCGAGCTAAACATGAGTAAACAACGCTCTACTCTAAGTAATTAATACTTTAGTATAAATAAACAGATCCCTTGAAAGCTCACTGTGTTGACAGGATAATATTTGGACCTCTTTGCTCCAGAGTTCAAGGTTCTTCACTCATGGCCCACTTGTCAACTTCCTTGTTCAAATTTTCTTCACTAAAACACATACCTTGATCATTACACAGGTCCCCAAACTCGTCACTCCCTCCCACCTCTATGCTTAAAGTCACGTTGTCTTACCCAAATTGTTCATTTTTCTTCCTTTCTTTTGACCTTTTGGTAGCTCCTCCCATTCTGGAAGGACCAGGACGAATCTTCCTTCATGAATATCATTAATCTCCCTCGTCTCTGAACCCTTGACTACTTTGTCTGGTTATTCATACATGGCAACATTTCCCGAGGACTGTAAGGAACTTGAAGGAAGAGACTTTATCTTATTTCCAATTTTTATATTTAGTATAGTACTGGGTACAATCGTGGATTCTAAATATGCACGTGTTATGAATACATTGAGGGCCTATCTATGTGCTCAGACCCTCAGCAGTTATTAGCTTGTATAGAGATTAAAAAGACAGGTTGTGTGTGTCCTCTAGGATGAACCTTAGTGATGGTGTTAAAACCATGGACTTAGGATTCACGCATGGTTTCAAATCCAGGTTTTGAAACTCACTGGCTCTGTGATCGAGTATACTCAGCTGTCATCATGAAATCTCTGCTTCCTCATCTGTATAATGGGGACTTTCTCATTAGGGTTGGTGTGAGAATTACATAAGAACATAATGATTTTTATGAGTGAACACTTACTGAATTAGTCATTTTGCTAAATAAGAACAATCCTACCCAAATAAAAGTCCATGCTTTTAAGAGTGTCAGGCAACGGATTCAGCCCGGTGACTGACTCACAGGAAACATTGAACACATGGCAGATATTATTACCAGAGCCATTAAATGGAGATGTATAATTTCAGGGACTGTTAAAATTGGACTGGTAATACTGGAGAAGGCAAGAAAAGTGGGCACATTGTGAGATGCATACATGTGCACATAAACACAGACTGAATTTGATCCAAAAGAAATTCCTTTGGGAAATTCCATCACATCCCATTACCACAGTCCCAAAGGCCAGAGCTGGCCTCTGATCTTTACATATTTAATATCCTTGGAGAAATTCTGAAACCATAACCATCCTGAAATGGTACATAAAGACAAGTGTATGTGGGAGTTGTATGCAAAATCGTGGTACTTTACTTCTGGCTCCCAGAATTCTTTAATCATAATTCCTTGTGCTTCTCTGCCAACTTTTGACCTTAGGATAGCTCTTTGATTGCTCAATAGGATCTGACAGCAAGGAAGGGAGAACAGTGAAGTACACATTCTCTGCGCATTCTTACACACTCACTGAAAAGACAACAGTTTAATAATTCTAATTCATATATACCTCTACTCATGCAATCAATAATTCATGGCAATTTCTCTGCAGCATTTTAGTGACAACAGAAAGGGCAGGGTATTTCTTCTCTTCCCTTCGCCTTTCTTTTTTCACTTAGTCGTGCCTGGAGCCTGGAGAGTACAGAATCTCAAGAAAACAGTTTCCATGGTGATTCTTCCTTTGAGTACCCGACTGTATTTCACTCTTTCTGGAGTGAATTAATGCTTTTTATTGCTTTCATGCTAAATATATTGAAGATTAGATTTGAGTTCCTCGGCAGTGATAC